TTCGGGCAAACAAACTCGCTATTGCTATTCGCTATTGCTAGCGACAATAGACGCTATTGTCGCTATCGCTAGCGACAATAGATAATAGAGAGTTTTTTTGCCCGAAGGGCAATAGACAATAGCGAGTTTGTTTACCTCTTAACTCGCTATTGCCTATTGTCTATAGAATATTTGTGACAATACGCGAGGGAACTTCCCGCATCGTCAGTTCCCTCTTTCAAATTGTTTCACAATTTCTGTACCCAGTGATATCTCGAGGTTTCAATTTCGTCACATGATGGAGGCAACGTTTTTCGACACTGCTGTTTACATTCAAAACTGACAATTGTACGGTAACTACTTCAATGCCAACGCTTGGTTGGAATCAACCAATTATGAACCACCTGTAACAACGGGGAAAGCTACCATTTAACACGCTACCTTTTCCCAAAAAAAATAAAAACATGTTTGAAAACTTACCCACTGAGGCGATTCAGATGCTCCCTTCGCAAGAATGAAAATTCATACAACATAATTCTTGTTATTCCATAATATAATATAATACTGAGTCGGGTACTTATTCAGCCGCATGTTCTCGCCCCATACCCTCCCATCTTTTCAGGATTCAAGATTAAAGATATTTAGTGATATCAAGAGGCGATTTCACCCATTTCGATATCACGTGTCGAGGTCTAGCGTTCCTTAATTTTAGGATAGGCCTAACCCACTTGAATATTTATGTATTTTTGTTTTTTGTTTGTTTTTGCTTTTGTTTTTGACTATCCTAGTTGCTTACTGTCTAGTACCTAACGTCAACATTGCCCCCCACCTTTTTGCCTGTCCATGAAAGCATCCAGTTTCTTCTTAAAGATAGCCACAGAAGCCACTACTTCGTCATCTAACGCATTCCACGCGTTCACCACTCTGCAAGTAAAGAATTCCTGTCTCGACCTGAGCCGCACCTGCGGTTTGCGCAACTTAAGTCGGTTCCCTCTCGTTCTCTTGCTGTCATCAAACTGGAAATACCTACCACACTCGACATTATTTATTCCTTTAATTATCTTGAAAGCCTGGATGAGAACGCCCCTCCTTCCCAAGTAACACAAGATATTCCAGCAACGTTTAGGAAATGTTGATGAACAATGTTGCATCTATGTGTAAATGTCCAAAACGTCAACGTTGCTCAAATGTTGCGAAGGAACATTGCATTTACGTTACAAATCGATACTTATTCATTACATATACGTTGCAGATACGTTTCAGGATATATGTTGCTGCAATGTTGATTAAAAACTTTGCTTCACGGACACCCAATCTGGGCCTATATTGGCATTACGGAAAAGCGTAGGCTTCACTGGTCCTGAACTGGACCGATATTCTACCAATATTGAATTATTTATTTCATCCTTTCGTACATTCTCATTTACAGGACGAAGCCTGTACTGGTATAACCCCTACTCCATGCATAATACAGTATCTGTATCATATACAGGCAGGAGACAATACATTTTTGGAGGTGACCTTCCCCTGGATGTGCTAAATTGCACAATACAGGAAAAGGTCCGACCGCAATGTTCTATGGAGTGTCCATGAAATCATTCCATCGTTTCCTCAGCTTGTACCCAGGAATGAGGATATTAAGTATTGAGATCGCAGACTCTCTACCATCGTTTTTATTGTCCCGTTCTTGGAAAGGGTGTTTTTTGGGAATTGAGCTTTTTCTATCTTGACCCCATTAATCTGTCTAGAAAATGAAGATAACAGGTGATGAAGTGTCCG